CCTCCCCATTGCCTTCCCCCCGAGACCCCGCATCCAGCCCGGCTCCCACTGGAGCCCGCCCCGCCTCCCCGGCGCTGATAGGCGTCTGCCCCCGTGCCGCCGCCTCCCCCTCCCCCTCCTTCACCATGAATGAAAGTGGGGAGGGGGGCGGAGAGACTGGCACAAAGAGGCTGCCTCGCCTCCTCTACTTCCCTCAATGAAAGTTGGGAGTGAGACAGGTCCCTCCGCCCTCCTCTCCACAGTTCCACCCACGGAGCCTACCATTCATCCTATGCCGAGAAAAAAATAAAAATAAAAAAAATATTATATATTTTATGTAAAGAAAAAAATAATCCAGCAAGCAGAGACAAGGAAAGGGCTGGGTTTCAACCTGCAGGCACCCCAAAAAGAGCGGGTGGGGGAATGTGGGGGGGAGGGGGTCGCATATTGCAGTGCCCTCAGGTGAGGCGTGACACTGCTGCTATTTTCCAAATGTCAAAGCCAAAGCCTGAATGAATCTCTCAATGAAAAGCCACCATCACCGCCAGGCGCCGAGACACGGAGCTGCCCGCCCGCACGAGACTGGCCCTCCGGAAAGGACGGGGATGAATGGGCCGGGGGATTTCAGCACCTCGACCCGGTGGACAGAGGCGAGGCGCCCGGCCCTTCCCCGCCGGGAGCCTCCCGCATGAGCTCATTGCTTGTGCATGCAAATGCCAGCTAATTGTGGGTAGCAAACAGCTAAAGGAATAAAAGAAAAGAAAAAACAACACCCCGCCCCCCGACCATAAACAAAACCCGGGGTAGCCTAAAGGTTGCTCTTCAAAGCAAAACACTCATGAAATGCGATAGGACCTGATGGAGCCCCGCGGACTATTGATAAAAATAGCACCAAAAGGGAGCACTTCTCAGCTCAGATAGGCAAGGCTAAATACATAGATTAATAATAATAATAAAAAGGCCATCCAAGCGTCCCAAACACATACACAACGATCGTAAGTCTTTGTCTCCCTCCAACTTTTACACTTCACCGCTGCTCTTAAATGATGCCCCTCTGGCAACCGTGCGCTGGAGCCGCAGCTTAAGCAAATTGCTAATGGGTTTAGATGCTAACTCCTGGGAGCAAAGCGCGGGGGGCTGATACTCACCCAGGACGTTCCCGATGAGAGCCACAATGAATACAATTATATACCCAGCGATCAGGACCCATTCATATTCTCTGGGGTGCAAATATTCCTTCCAAAGGTATCGCAGAAATTCCTCATCATCGTAGTCAGTAGAGGGAGTTAAAAAAGCCTCCTGAGTTTCATTCAGCTCTGGAATAGATGACCAGTTCCTACAAGAAGGGGAATCATCACCCAGTTGGGTCCCGGACATCCCTGGTTGTGATCAGGGTCTGAATCAAAACCTTTCAGTGCCTCAAGCCTTTCTCGAGCTCATCCATTTAGACGTGTGACTTCCCGTGTAAAACAGGGTGTGGGGAGAAAAGGGGAAAATGACGCGGAAAGTTATAGAGCCAATACCGACCGAGGCTCCCACTCGGCCACTTCTCGCACTACCTTTGCAGCATTTCCCAGCAAAGGTACACGCACAGCAGCGCTGCGAGACGGAGTGAGGACTCGGCATCAGAGGCTGCAGTGACACAGAAGCAGGCACGGCACATGCTTACAAATGCCTCATTTTGGCACAGAGTCTGCAATATACAGCAAAGCTTTGGGGGCTGGGGGGAGGAGGAGGTGTGGGCAGTTTGCTTAACAAGGGAGGGGCCATTTAGGATCTAATCCGCCAGCCAGAGTGTACCTGACCCTGCCTGCGTGCATGCGCTGGGGCTTATGCAATGTTTGATTTACATCTGGAGCCCTAGACGAGAGCTCACGCCTGCCCTTGACAATCCAACACGACCTTCCTCAGCTGCTGCGCTCAATAGATCCCGCCCCCCAGCTGCTGCCTTTTGCAGCCTCTTCCCTTGCCCGCTACCCACAGCCTCAGTGTCCCTTATAGTTTGTCCTCTCACCCCTCGTGTACCTCCAGTCCCTTTCCAACCCTGTTTGGAGAAGAAAGAAGGGCAGGAATGAATGGCACGTGCAGAGCAGATATAGCAGGAAGGAAGCTTTTGAAATTAGTGGCTAAGGAAGTTACTTATCTATAGCTCCCCATGCCCCATAAGTGGCCAAAGCAGGTGTGCAGCACCCTTTTCTCTGCTCCCTTTTTAGGGCAGAGGAGAGCAGTTAGCTACCTTGGAGTTCTGGAGGAACACAGCTCTCAGATCTTTCCTTTGCACCAAAGCTCTGATGAAACAGGGATTGTCATAGAACAATAGTGTGTGTGTGCACACACACACACTTGCATGCATGTACACATACAGGCCCCAGCTTTTTCAGAGGTAAGTGCAAGAAGTCCTATAGAGGATACTAATAACCATAGAAGATATAAAACAGGTTTATAAAATGAGGTCACAAGGTCCAACCATTTACAGTTAAGAGTATTAGACATCTTAAGTACAGGAGTTGCCACTAGCTCCCTCTATAATAATCTGTCCACATCTAAAACACTGAAAGAGATTAAAGGAATATTTATATCACTTCCCAAGTGTTTTGAGGGCCAGTCATACCCATTTCCTCTTGTTTACACTTGCCTCTCTTCTCCTCCCCTCCAAAATGTGTGTGTCCTCCTAAGCTATTCTCAAGACCTCTGTTTCCAGTATGCTTCAGATTGTTTGTGGGATGCTCGCATAGTAGCTTCATCACAAAATTTCCAGGCTTAATGTGCATAAACAGGGGTGGCACACACTCAAGCAATCCCTTCCTGAGTGTGCTGGGAACGTGATGTGGCTCTTTTTAGAGACTCAAGACTGCAAAGGAAGGAAAAGAATATAAAGTCTAGGTTTCTAGATAGTGCCTGATCACCAGTTTCTCAAACCTCTCCCTCCACAGTTTTTCAAGGACCCCATTTTCTCATCATTTTTTTGGAAAATAAAAGCATGGATAGGAAACCTTATCTCTAATTTGTGCACTTCCCCTGTAACCCCAACCAAACATGGGCTGGATTACTCTAGCACAGCAAGACGTTGTAACTACTCTAGCACATAAATAGTGTTTTTTCTATGTATAAAATCTTTAGATATTGGAAATGGGAAACTCCTGAACACAAAATACTTCCCTTTTAAGAAAGGCCTTAGAAGTGCCTCTCATTTACCTCATTTTTCCTTCAACCCACCTACTGTACTCTCCTACTTTATGCCTCTATGGGCAATTCACTAATTTATTCAGATTTTTGTCTCTTCACCTGATTTTCCTTAAGCCCCACTATTCTCCACCTTCTCTGCATTCTAACTTCTTTGTAACTATGAAGATGAATCCCATAAACAAAAATATTTGAGCACCATTTACCACCCCTTCCTCCCCACTGTTATACTATTTGTGTCAATCCACACATACCTTCTCTAACCATAATTCAGTTTTCCCTATCATGGCAAGCTAACTACCTAATTTGTATTTCCTCTTTTATAATCCCTTGCCCAATACTTTCCCCAATGTTTCTTTATTGCTTCCCATCTGTCAGGTGACCCCAATTTCCTTAGGCCTCTTAAACCCCAGATTTGTCATTGAGAAGCAAGAAGTAGGATAAACAGAGGAAATCACCAGTTAATATTATGCAAACAATTGTGCCAAGCTTCATGCAATATTCTTTCACACAAACTCATAGACAGAGCACATTTTTCTGTTGTCTTTTTTTACCTGAAGCAATTATCTAGGAAAAATAAAAAACAGGGCAACTTACCCATCCATCTAAGAAATGTTTTCATTTCAGCAATGGCCGCAGAGACTAGAAAGAGTGAAGGTTTTGGGTGGCTGTTTAGAATGAGAGTACATCCATTTAGGCTGTGGCAGGTGCAGAGTTAAACACTCCCCTTGGCAATCTCATGGAGTTCACTTTCTTGGGACTTCCAACATAAAACTCATGGAAAACCTGTTCAATTTACTTCCTGATTTATCCCAGAATAAATCAATCCTATGTGCTTGCTTTAAACACCTGCTGATGATAATCTGACCTGGTAACAAGTGTCTGTACTGAACTACTTGGGCAAGAAGCAAAGCTTTATGGTAGATGGTTGACTTAGGCTCATAGAATCATAGAAAAATAGGGATGGAAAGTCAAACATTGTTTTTAAAAATCTAAAATTTAAAATGTTCTATTTGGAACATATGAACACAGTGCTGTGTGTAAAGAGTAGGTTGGCTGCTTCATAATTCATTTTATTTTATGTGCTCAGGTGTTCCTCCAGATGCTTCATGCCTAGGGATTCCTAGGGTGCTTGAAGTCACCTGTTAGACAGGAGAAAGGGGTCTTAGTAAAAATTAAATGCATCTTTCACAAGATACAGAGACAGGATTTGAAAAAGAAACATTTTTATTTTAGACTCAACATTTTTGCTTCTATGACAAAGTAAAAATGTCATAAAAAACCCAAAACAGTTTTTAGTTTACTTTTCTATTAGGACAAAGCTTTTCCCACATGTTTTAGATTGTGCTCTGAGGAACATTCTTAGATGCAAATGAAGAAATAGGAGGGCTTCATGGGGAGTTTGGAGAGGGAGCATAAGAGTCTCTCTTTCTAGCTGCAGTTCTAAGCATAACATTGCAATTATCAATGATGGAATTGTGGTTATGACCTGCAATGCATTTGCCTTGTTTTCTTTCCAGTTTGAAGTCTGAAGGGACTTTCTGTATATGAAGGTCAAATTGGAGGCTTCATTCAAAGAAAGATTTTTGAATCTGAAAGACAAGGGCAGACACTAATGGAGTGTCAGAAACACCAAAGTGTTTTTGGACACTCACTGGCTAAGTTTTTAAATAAAAGTGGATGCTGGGCTAGGCTTGGTATTGAATTTAATATGTGATTTAGATGTGGCTCAGCATGCCTACTGGATTAACCCCTTTAAGGGACTTAGGCACAGGGACTCCTATGTTACAAATCCCCCTATTTTATGGATGGCTTTTGGTGAGAGGGAGGCCCAAAGGCACTCAGCTCAACCAAAATGGCATCATTTCTGGACATGTTCTATAGCAGAAATTAAGGTGCCCAAGAGCTTGTCAGAAAACTTACTTAAATGCTTATGTTTAGGCAGGGTTTTGTGGATCATTTTGCTTGGATTAAGAGCTTTCAGTTAAGCACTAGTTAAGCTGCACATTAGACAGCTTCCAGGGATCTGGTTCTAGGCACCTTAATACCTTTGTGGAATACTGGCTAAGTCTCTGTGTCTTGGTTTCCTGTTCCTACCTCACAGTGGTGTTTTGGGCATTGAAAAGGATAACTATATGAAAGGCTGTAAAGTGCTTCAGTATGATACAGGACACCAAACAAGTTCTTTAGTTGGTTGGAGAGATAGGCCAGCAGTTAGGACTCCCAAAATGATCAGACATTTCTAAATATTGTGAAAACATCTGCAATTATGTTTGAAAGGTTATGTATTTTTAGAAGAAATAAATAGTGAAAACATTTCCCCTATTCATTATAGATAGATGTTTAAGCAAGTTGGTCATCCTATTCTCCAGAGTGATTTGTGCTTTATCTACTAGAACATTGATCTGTAAAAATTTAGGATAATTTGTTTCTAAGTCATCAACAATTTAGAAACAAATTATGTCCTTTCGACACTGACTGCCACTCCCTTCTGTTTTTGCCATTAATAAAATGGGAAGTAAATATAATTGATGTGAGTCAACATGTATGGGTTATATGAAAAATAGATCTTTCAAATTGACTTGATATCCTTTTTTGGTAAAGTTACAAATTTGGTCGATGAAGGTAACTTCACAGACATTTTCTTAGATTAATGTCAGGGCATAAACTGGTACTGTACAACATTTCAATTAAGAATTTAGAATGAGACAAAATTAGCATGGATTGAAATGACTAAAAACTGACTAGCTTCAAAATGTAATTTGAAATGAAAAATCATCACTGAATAAACATTTTCCTACATGGTTCCTACAGAGGACTATGCTACTTAATATTTTTACTTATATGCTTAAAGAAAATAGAATAATCATTGGTATATTTCTAGAAGATACAAAGATCAGGGGAGTGGTAAATGATGAGCACTGATACAGAGTAAGCTGGATTGCTTTGTGAACTGGTTACACTCAAACAGTTTTCATTTTTACTTAATGCAGCCAAGTAAAGTAATACAACAGGAATAAATAATTTGGGGTGCATCTACATGTGCTGATATGGCATTGTTACTACTGCACCTTGCTTTAGTACTACTTCCTATTGAAAGTACTAGCCCATACTGCATTGTATGCTGAGCGCATGGTTATTTTTAGCCGCTACTTTGCAGTAGCGACACTATAACAAGGGAGGGTGCTGCTATG